CCCATTCTCTTATCAATGGGCACTTTCATTGTTTCCATTTTTGTTATATTATGAATAAAGTTGCTGTGAACATTCTTGTATACATGTTTTTGTAAACACAGTTTCATTTCTTTTGGATAAATATCTGGGAGTGGAATTACTGGACCAAAGGATAGGTATATGTTTAACATTATTGGAAACAAGCTTATTAGTTTTTGAAAGTGATTATACCATATTATATCCCTGCCAGCAATGCATGAAAGTTGCAGCTGCTTCATATCCCTGCTAACATTTGGTGCTGTCTTATCTTTTAGCCATTCTAAAAAGTATATAGGGCTTTCTCGCTGTGGTTTTTATTTGCAGTTCCCTGTTGCCTGATGATGTTGAGACTTTTTCATATGCTTATTGGTCATTCATATACCACTGTTCTGTGAATTGTCAAAATCTTTTGCCCATTTGTATCTGGGTTGTCTTTTTATTATTGATTATTGTAGTTCTTTATATATTCTGGATGCAAGTTCTTTGTCAGATGTATGTTTTGTGAATATTTTCTCACTCTGTGGCTTGCATACTCCTACTGTCTGTCTTCTGATGATCAAAGTTTTATTTTTTTTTTCAGTCCAGTTTATGAAATTCTTTATGGTTATTGTTTTCTGTCTCCTAAGAAATCTTTACCTCTAGATTGTTTTCTTAAAAAGCTTTACATTTAACTCTTATATTTAGGTATAAGATACATCTCAAATCAGTTTTTCTCCATGGTGTAAAGTTGGGGTCTAGGTGTTCCTCCCCCGCCCCGCCCCATATAGAGATCCAGTTATTCTAGCACCATTTGTTGAAAAGACTTTTCCTTTCCCCACTGAATTGCATTGGTGCCTTTATTGAAAACCAGTTTTCAAAATGTAGGTCTATTCCAGATCTCTGTTCAGTTCCTTTGATCTACTTGTACATCCTTATACCAATACTGCACTATCTTGATTATTGTAGTTTTATGATAAATTTTGATGTTAGGGAATGTTAGGTAATACAACTTTGTTGTTGTTTTTCTAGATTCTGTTGGCTATTCTAGGTCCTCTGCATTTCCACATGAATTTTAAAATCACCTTGTTCATTTCTATAAAAAAGCTTGCTGGGGCTACGAATTATTTATAAATTATTTGGGGCAGAATTAACATCTTAATAATATTTATTCTTCCAATCCATGAACATAGCGTAGCTCACATTTATTCAGGACTTCTTAAATATCTATCAGCAATGTTTTTTGTTTTTAGTGTGGAAGTTTTACATGTCTTTTGGTAAATTTACTACTAAGAATTTTGTTTTTTGATGCTATTGTAAATGGAATTTTAAAATTTGCATTTAGTTGCTTGCTACTATTGTTGTTAGTTGCAGTCAAATTGATTCCAACTCATGGTGACACCATGTGTGCACAGTAGAACTGCTCCTACCAGACCTGTCTTCTGAGGCACCTCTGGGTGGGTTCGAACCACCAGTCTTTCAGCTAGGAGTCGAGCGCTTAACCATTAACATTACCCAGGGACTCCTGTTTGCTACTAATATATAGAAATAAAATGTTGTTGTGAGGTGCCATTGAGTCGGTTCCGACTCATGACGACCCAGTGTACAACAGAACAAAACACTGCCCGGTCCTGAACCGTCCTCACAATTGCTGTTATGCTTGAGCCCATTGTTGCAGCCACTGTGTCAGTCTTATCTCATTGAGGGTCTTCCTCTTTTTCACTGACCATCTACTTTACCGGGCATGATGTCCTTTTCCAGGGACTGGTCCCTCCTAATAACATGTCCAAAGTATGTGAGACGAAGTCACGCCATCTTTGCTTCTAAGGAGCATTCTGGTTGTATTTCTATCAAGACAGATTTGTTTGTTCTTTGGGCAGTCCATGGTGTATTCAATATTCTTCACCAACACCATAATTCAAAGGCATCAGTTCTTCAGTATTCCTTATTCATTGTCAAGCTTTTGCATGCATATGAGGCAATTGAAAACACCATAGCTTGGGTCAGGCACACCTTAGTCCTTAAAGTGACATCTTTGCTTTTTAACACTTTATAAAGAGGTCTTTTGCAGCAGGTTTGCCCAGTGCAGTGCATCTTTTGATTTCTCGACTGCTGCTTCCATAGGCGTTGATTGTGGATCCAAGTAAAATGAAATCCTTGACAACTTCAATCATTTCTCTCTTTATAATGATACTACTTATTGGTCCAGTTGGGACAATTTGTGTTCTCTTTATGTTGAGGTGTAATCTATACTGAAGACTGTGGTCTTTGATACTCCTCAGCAGTGCTTCAAATCCTCTTCACTTTCAGCAAGCAAGGTTGTGTCATCTGCATAATGCAGGTTGTTAATGAGTCTTCCCCCAATCCTGATGCCCCATTTCTTCTTCACATAGTCCAGCCTTTCAGATTATTTGCTTAGCATACAGATTGAATAAGTACGTTGAAAGGATACAACCCGGATGCATACCTTTCCTGACTTTAAACTATGTGGTATCCCCTTGTTCTATTTGAACTACTGTCTCTTGGTCTCTGTACAGGTTCCTCATGAGCACCATTAAGCGTTCAGGAATTCCCATCCTTTGCAGTGTTATCCATAATTTGTTATGATCCACACAGTCGAATGCGTTTGCATAGTCAATAAAACACAGGTAAACATCTTTCTGGTATTCTGTGCTTTCAGCCAGGATCCATCTGACATCAGCAGTGATATCCCTGGTTCCATGTTCTCTTCTGAATCGGGCTTGAATGTCTGGTAGTCCCTGTTGATGTACTGCTGCAGCCACTTTTGAATGATCTTCAGCAAAATTTTACTTGCGTGTAGTATTAACGATATTGTTCGATAATTTCAGTTGGATCACCTTTCTTTGGAATAGACATAAATATGGATCTCTTCCAGTCAGTTGGCCAGGTAGCTGTGTTCCAAATTTCTTGGCATAGACAAGTGAGCACTTCCAGTGCTGCATCCATTTGTTGAAACATCTCAGTTGGTATTTCGTCAATTCCTGGAGCCTTGTTTTAAACCAATGTCTTCAGTGCAGCTTGGACTTTTTCCTTCATTAGCATCGGTTCTTGATTATATGCTACCTCCTGAAATGGTTGAACGTCAACCAGTTCTTTTTGGTACAGTAACTCTGTATTCCTTCCATCTACTTTTGATGCTTCCTGTGTCGTTCAGTGTTTTGCCCATAGAATCCTTCAGTATTTCAGCTCGAAATAATTTTTTCTTCAGTTCTTTCAGCTTGAGAAATGCCAAGGGTGTTCTTCCCTTTTGGTTTTCTAACTCCAGGTCTTTGCATCTGTCATTATAATACTTTACTTTGTCTTCTAGAGCCGCCCTTTGAAATCTTCTGTTCAGCTCTTTTACTTCATCATTTCTTCCTTTAGTTTTAGCTATTCTATGTTCAGTAGCAAGAGTCTGTTCTGACATCCATTTTGGTCTTTTCTTTCTTTCCTGTCTTTTTAATGACCTCTTGCTTTCTTCATGTTTGATGTCCTTGAACAACTTGTCTGGTCTTTGGCCATTATTGTTCAGTGTATCAAATCTGTTCTTGAGATGGTCTCTAAATTCAGATGGGATATACTCAAGGTCGTACTTTGGCTCTCGTGGACTTGTTCTAATTTTCTTCAGTTTCAACTTGAACTTGCATATGAGCAATTGATGGCCTGTTCTGCAGTCGGCCCCTGGCCTTGTTCTGACTAATGATATTGAGCTTTTCCATCATCTCTTTCCACAGATGTAGTCAGTTTGATTCCTGTATATTCCATCTGGCAAGGCCCACGTGTATAATCGCCATTTATGTTGTTGTAAAAAGGTATTTGCAATGAAGAAGTTGTTGGTATTGCAAAATTCTGTCATGCAATCTCCAGTGTCGTTTCTGTCACCAAGGATGTATTTTCCAACTACCAATCCTTCTTTGTTTGCAACTTTGCATTTCAATCATCAGTAATTATCAGTACACCTTGATTGCATGTTTGATCAATTTCAGACTGCAGAAGTTGGTAAAAATCTTCAATTTCTTCATCTTTGGCCTTAGCGTTTGGTGCATAAATTTGAATAATAGTCGTATTAACTGGTTGTCCTTGTAGGTGTGTGGATATTATCCTATCAGTGAAAAACAATAGATTTTTATATATTAATCCTTGACCTTGAGACATTGCTACACCCAGTAAGTTTTCCTTTTAACCCACAGTTCCTGAACATCACGGACTTACTCCTCTTTGTGCCTTTATATGGATTTTTAGACTTACCTCCATGTATGCCTCCTCAAGAGGGCCAGTACAAATGCCACAGCATTTGTGAAGTCTTCTCACACTATGCCCCAGCTGGAATCAAGTAGTCCCTCCTCAGAGTGTCTCTATTAGAGCATTTTCCACACTTAGACTTGTGTGAGCAGTTCTTTGAGGGCCAGAGCTGTACTTTATCTCCCCTCTATCCCCACAATATCTAGCAAGGTGTCTTCATTCACAGTATGGGAGTGTTTCTTTACAACAGTTATTTCTGGAAGTAGGAAATTATGTCACTCCAGGGTGGGGTGGAAGGAACCCTGGTGGCACAGTGGTTAAACGCTCAGCTGCTATGCTAACCGAAAAGTTGACAGTTCCAACCCACCAGCCACTCCAAGGGAGAAAGATGTGGCAGTCTGCTTCCATAAAGATTACAACCCTGGAATCCCTATGGGGCAGTTCTGCTCTGTCCTATAGGGTCACTATGAGTTACGGTTGACTCGACAGCAACATGTTTGTTTTTTTGGGGGTGGGGTGGAAGTTGGGGGGGAAGTCTTTGTAGGCAACTTCAATTAGAAACAATTCCTGAAATGTATTTTCAAAAGGGAAAATGGACGTTTTATCAAAAACTTACCCCTGTGTTTTTCCTATTTAAAAACATGTTGTTCTGTGTGTTCTATAGTGGATGATCTACTACCCTCTAAATGACTTAGGTTTTGCTGCCAATTTTGAATGTTTATGCATCTAAATATGTTTCTTCTTACTTTGTTTCTGTGTTGTAGGTGGCTGACTGTGCTTGGGATGAAACGATAAAGATATATGATCCTGCTTGTCTTATTGTTCCTCCTTGAAATACGCTGCTCTGGTCAGAAACAAAGGACCAGACCTGAAGAACTACTTAGCAAGAAATAAATTAACTATTATAACATAGACATTATACTTTTATATGCTACTCAGATTTCAATTTTTAAAAATGTATCCTGGAATCAGTTTTGAGGCAGCTGATAGAGACTTTGGTTCACTATTTAAGCCTAGTACATAAGCCATATTTCTTAAAATCCTAAGGAATAATTGATGTTATGGTATATCTTGTAACATCTATTAAAATGTTACTTCTGTATTGTAAAATAGATTAAAATATGGGAGATCAGTAGATTATATTGATAGTGTTGTACTTCATTTTTAATTTGTCACTTATGATGTAAAATATAATCACTGCTATTGATTAAAATAAAAATAAACTGCATCTCTTGATCATTTATCATTTTATGATATCCTCAACAAGATTATTTTTTTCTAATATATTGCGTATATAAATACAGTACTATGTATAATATAGATATATCTATAGTTCAGTATCAGGGCTCTAATATAGGTTTAATTTATTAATTTCTTTAACAGTTAATTATTGAGCATCTACTAAGTGTCTGACACATAGAACAAATGAGATTTTTCTCAAGGCCTGGTACCCTGTTTTAAGAACATGGAATGTTGTGAGCAAAGAGCTTACACTTTTATATACTTAATTAAAACTTTTTAGATATCGTACCCATGACCTTCTGTTTCCCTTTTCCTACTTCTCTATTATCAAATGTTAAAAAAAAAAAAAACTGTTGACTGAGCAAAAAGTTCTAGGTCCTACTAATGTGTCCAACAATTGCTCTTTTTTTTTTTTTTTCCCAGCTAGCCCTAAGTAATTCTGTAAGCCCTCCTTGCTATCTCCCTAAGTCTCCTTGAAAAATTTCTAGGTGCTTATGAATTATAAAAAAGGAGAGTAGAAGGAAAAAATTAATAAAACAAGCAATTTTATATAACATAATACTTTCATGTAATATCAAAATAAAATGTTACTAAATGACAAAAAGTTAATTTTAACAAGTTTTTGAGAATTTTTAAAGAGCAGAATAAACTTGTAGTAATCAGAGCAAAAATAAATTAAAATATATGTATATTGTCTTATCTTACATATTTCATTTCCTTTTTCCGAAAAAAATCAAAACAGCTTACAAAATACCAAAGCAAGATAGGTTAAATTAAAAAGTGGAACAAAAAGAGACCTAAAGAGGAGACGAGTGGGTCTTGAAAATGCATTCCACAGAGTCCTATGAACTTGCTACTGGTTGGACCAAAAACTTGCTGCTAAGGATTCTAGTAGCATAAATGAGAATCCTGGTTAGTTGCAAAGTTCAGTGCCCATGGCCAGAGGGCAAGGACTTCTAACTAGTCCCAGGCTAGGTATTTGTTGAATGAATGAATGACCTCAGGAAAGTAAAACTCTTTTTGGTCCTCAGACAGATTGATAACTCATTGTTTTTGAGAGGCCTACTAAAGAAGACACTGTTAAGCATAAGTGTATGGTAGTAAACAAGGTGCTCAGCCATATCCTTAGAGTTGTCACAATGAGGAGTTTCAGAGCTGGTTTATTTTGTTACTTTCCTCCATATGAACTAATGGCTCACACCAAAGTGCAGTTCAAGAAATATGGGGCCACAACGGGTATTCTTTGTTTTAGCAGAATTTTGTTTTCTTTTTCTTTTTTTCATTGTACTTTAGATGAAGGTTTACAGAACAGACTAGCTTCTTATTAAACAGTTCACGTATTATTTTATGACATTGTTTAACAACTCCACAACATGTCAACACTCTCCCTTCTTGACCTTGGGTTCCCTATTAACCAGCCTTCCTGTCACCTCCTGCCTTCTAGTCCTTGCCCTTGGGCTGGTGTGCCCCTTAGTCTTGTTTTATGGGCCTGTCCAATCTTTGGATGAAGGGTGATCCTCAAGAGTGACTTCAGTACTGAGCTAAAAGGGTGTCCGAGGGCCATACTCTTGGGGTTTCTTCAGTCTCTGTCAGGTCAGAAAGTTTGGTCTTTTTTTGCGAGTAAGAATTTTGTTCTACATTTTTCTCCATCTCTGTCCAGGACTCTCTATTGTGATCCCTGTCAGAGCAGTCAGTGATGGTAGCCAGGCACCATCTAGTTGTACTAGACTCAGACTGGTGGAGGCTGTGGTAGTTGTGGTCCATTACTCCTTTGGACTAATCTTTCCCTTGTGTCTTTAGTTTTCTTCATTCTCCCTGGCTCCCGAAAGGGTGAGACCAGTGGAGTATCTTTTATGGCCACTATTTTAGCAGAACTTTTAATACACCTTTTAAAATACTCAACCCAAATTATATTTACAATGTAATTTACACTTACTAATATATTTTCTTTTTAAAATGTATCATAGATTGAATTGTGTCCCCCTAAAATATGTGTCAACTTGGCTAGGCCATGATTCCCAGTATTGTGTGGTTGTCCTCCATTTTGCAATCTGATTATCCTTCATTTGGTGATGTATTGTAAATCCTAGCCTCTATGCCTGTGGTTATAGTCCCACTTGGGAGTGAACTGTCTGTTATGTTAATAAGGCAGGATTAGGTCATGTTAATGAGGATTAGGGTGGGATGCAACACCCTTACTCAGGTCACAGCCCTGATCCAATGTAAGGAGAGTTCCCCTGGGGAGTGGTAGAATCACCTTTTATCTTAACAATAGATAAAAGGAGAGGGAAGTGAGCAGACAGGGACATAACTACTACCAAGAAGAGCCAGGGGGAGAGCGCATCCTTTGGACCCAGGCTCCCTGTGCTGAGAACCTCCTAGACCCAGGGAAAGACTGATGCCAAGACACATACAGATGCCTAAGGAACACCAGGTCCACAGATGTTGAAAGGAGGCAAGGACCTTCCCCCAGAGCCAACAGAGATAGAAAGCCTTCCCCTGGAGCTGTTGCCCCGAATTTGGGCTTCTAGCCTCCTAAACTTTGAGAGAATAAATTTCTCTTAGTTAAAGCCATCCACTTGTGGTATTTCTGTTATAGCAGCACTAGTTAACTAAGACAATACAAGGGAATTTATTAGCAAAATAATCTCACATGTCGCTTTTGAAACAAATACTTATGATTTAAAAACTAATATCTCCCTTGATTTATTTTTAACCTCTTTCAGGCATGTTAGAGATGTTTAGAAAACTGACTTCATAATACTTGACTCAGGTTCTTGGTGTCTATCAATATGCAAGAGTGTTGGTGAACACTTAGCTACTAGTGGGTTCCCTGGAGTTAGAAAACTAGAAGGAAAAGAGCTGGATTCTCTCTTGGAAGAAAATTGTCATGGGGGAAAAAGACCCCAGACTCAAATTTAATCAAAAGAGATTTTTATTAAGCCAAGACAAAGACAAAGACAGTCATTGCAATTAGAGACCTGCTAGTGTGCACCAGGCACAAGAGACTGGCAGAATCCACTGAATCATAAGCAGGGAGTCTCTAATATACCGTTACAGAAGGAAGTAAAGCTACATCATTGTCAAAGGCATGATAACAAAGCGGGACCTTAATGATTGGCTTACAGAGCTTTGTTGACTACCTACTTAGTGACATTACATTGGTGGCTTACAAGTTTTAAGACTCTGTCTTAGTTATCTAGTGCTGCTATTACAGATATACCACAAGTGGATGGCTTTAACAAAGAGAAACTTATTCTCTCACAGTCTAGGAGGCTAGAAGTCCAAATTCAGGGTGCCAGCTCCAGGGAAAGGCTTTCTCTCTCTGTCAGCTCTTGGGGAAGGTCCTTGTCATCAATCTTCCCCAGTCGAGGAGATTCTCAGTGCAGGGACCCCAGCTCCAAAGGATGCGCTATTCTCCTGGCTCTTGTTTCTTGGTGGTATGGGGTCCCTATGTCTCTGCTCGCTTCTCTCTTTCATATCTCAAAACAGATTGGCTTACAGTACAACCTAATCTTGTAGATTGAGTCCTGCCCCATTAACATAATTGCTGATAATCCCAGCTCATTAACATCATAGAGATAGGATTTACTACACATTGGAAAATCACATCAGATGACAAAATGGTGGACAGTCACAATACTGGGGATCATGGCCTAGCCAAGTTGGCAGATATTTCTGGCTGACACAGTTCAATCCTTGACAGACTCCTTGGAAATAAACCATAGAAATGAGCTGTTTGGGTTAAGTCTCCTTTGGAAACAAGCCAGCAAAATTCTGATTGGTGCTTGGTGAGGTAAGATAGCTACTACTTAGTGATGTGGGTGCTTTGTTAGTTAGTTCCCACTTAGTTACCATAAAAAGTTCACAGAGCAGTCACAGAACCTTCTCTGCAAATGTAAAAGTTACATAAAAGCTCCCTGGCTTTGTTAAAAGGAAAAGCCACATTCTCTTAGGTATCAGGAGCCCTGACGGCACAGTGATTAAGAGCTTGTCTGTTAACCAAAAGAGGCTGGCAATTCAAATCCACTAGCCCTGCCTTGGAAACCCTGTGGGGCAGTTCTGCTTTGTCCTAAAGAGTCCTTAGGAGTCTGAATTGACTTCGACAGCAACAGATTTGGTTTTGGTTTTTTTTTTTCCCTGAGATATCAGATAACAGACAGAACTGCCCTAACCAGTTTAGTTTCCTGATTCTGCAGGTTTTCTACACAGAGTGAGTTTGAAGCCTGGATCCCACTTCAGCTTCTCTTACTCAGACCAGTTACCTCATAATAATTTTTTTCGGGTCTTTGTATCATTCCCTCCTTTTGATCAAGGATTTTGATCAAACATCCTTTGATCACTCTTATGGGCATGCTTTCTTATGCATGGGTTGTTGATATGTTGCTCCCAGGTGATGACTCCATGTTCATGGTTATGCTTGTTTTATTCCTGGTGTTGAGCCTCTTTTTCTGTAGTTGGGGACCACTGGTTCCTTGGTTGCAGGGAAGCTTCAGGAAATTTACCATGGTATGTCTGAGCAGCTGTCTTCAGTAATCTTATTATGTGACTCCATTAGCATGGTCTTTATATCCTAGATGGCAGCCCATCCTGCTTCAAGCTTTTAAACTCATGACTTACTTAGTCGGATACCATCTGGTTCTTCACCATACGTCTTGTCTGAATACTGTTATCTAGGAGGGTGATGACTCGGAGACCTACACCAAATTGGAGGAATATCTGACCCTTTCATTGAAGTTAATATAGGGTGCAGGATCCATCCACCATGTTACAAAAGTGAGAGAAATTAATGTACATAAGTTGCTTCGAAGGTGTGGAGTTTCCTAAATTGGACACACATTTCATAATACAGTTGACAATTCCAATTTCAGTTACAATTATTATCAGAATAACTAGTCAATTTTTCGGTAAAGTTCTCAGCCATGGCCCTATTCCTTGTGATAACCAACTGAATAAATCTGAAAAGGTATAGTCATAGGAGGAATAGAGTGAAGCCAAACTGCT